TTATGGTCACGCTATGGACGTCATCTGCCATGTCGATTGCAGAGCGGTGCTCCCTCCTTTGTGCCACATGTCCTCTTGTGATGTTTTTACTTAACCTTACATTTAATGTGGAGCTAAGGAACTGCGACATTAAATACAGATTTATACTTTGGTAGAACTCTGCAAGTTCAACACTAAGCTTGGTTTCCTTAATTTATTATGACTCCTAAGATCAATAAAGTTGCTAAAAAAGTCAGCCATCTGCATGGTCATAGTAAGAGATGTAAGCCTTACAACAGATTTTCCATCAGTCGTCACAATGATCACTGCCATCACTGAAAAGTGCCTGCAGTGACTGTAATTTCCAAGTAACTTTCTACCCAGTTTTGAAGCAATCACCACGCTTTACTTTCAGACAACAGTGATGTGTTTTGACACTGACTATTCCTACAAATGAAAGCGGAGTATTTTTGCTCACAAGATTACATTCTTACCTTAACGCCACAAACAATCCCAACCAGATGCTTATAGTTCTTTGTCAAATGATAAAATCTATGGGTAGCAGCTGGAGACCACTCTTCCCCCTGGTGAATCAGATTAAATTGCGGAACAGAATTGATGTCACGGTAAGCACACATTAATCATTGACAGTTTGCAATTATTGCATCGCAACAAAATATGTTACATTACGAGAATGAAAAATATATTAAGTGAATCAGCAACATTGGTAATTATAGAATAATAATAATAATAACAATAGTAATATTTATCGATTTGTATTGTGCAAATATCAATCTATGGAAAGAAATTTTCATCTGAGCATTATACTGACATCAGCAGATCTGAATTATATTCCTTTAACACTATATATTCCTAAAGGGGAGTAAATAACAAGAGACGGCAACGTTGGTTAGGTATCACACGGAAAAGGAAAATAACACTGCCCCACGATTGACTGCTTTTAAAACTATATAGAAGTTAATTTACCAGCATAAATGATTTTAAAATTAACTAATGTGGAGCACCTGTTTGATGTAAGAGCATGTTCCACAAACATGTTCAATTTTTGGGCAAATGCCCAGGATGAACACTTACAATGTGCAGAAACTTTCAGCAACAACAGTTGGCCATTTACCCCCTTCAAATTACAATTAAAAAACCCAAAACAATACCACAGATTTGCCTGAGATTCCATAGTGTCCTTAAACTTCTCAACCAACAAATTACGATAAGCCTAGTGAAGTTATACCCTTAATCTTTCTTGAGCAGTGACACATTTCTGTTAGTAAAAGATCTCACCCCTTCAAATGGTTGAATGTATGCTAACTTGCTGGGTAAAGCTTGGGCTGGTAATTTCAGAAACTGTGACCTAAACAAAAAAGTAAAGTTATAGTTACAACATCCTCTGCCAGTTTGTGCATCACCTTCCTTCATGTAACTAAAGTTACCGTGTAAAACTGTAACTGGAGTTAGTTGGCCTCACCTTAGAACTCGGAGACTTGATAAAGGCACTCTAGCTGTGTTTCCATAATCTACATAAAAAATCTGTCAACAAAACACCTAAAGGCTCAATCTTAATCAATCATGTAAGAAAAAGAGGCTGCATGAAAGAGTATACAAAGCACACAACTTAATCAAGAGAGTCTGAATTCAAATATTCCAGTTCCTCCAATCTAGTATGCCCCAAATAGAAATCATAAGTATTTTGCTAAATGTATTAACCATTCACTAAACTTTAAAATCAGCACCTACAGAGTCCCATAAACCAATTATTTCTAGAATAAACCCTGAAAAAAGAAACTTCAATATTGAACAAGCCAAATGCAGGACACCAAACAATAACGTAGAGGTAACCTGAGAAGGTATCCAACATTTAGCAATGCCGTCACTGGTTTCCCTGTGAAAGGACATCTGAGACACAATATTGCCAACACAATGTAACAAACTTTGTAACATTGTGCGCAATTTAAACTCAACAGCAATTTCACAAAATGTAACACTGAAGATGATGGATCTACTATCGAAACAGGTGCAAAAATTCCGTACTTATAATGCATCACTTCCCAAATTAGGGTACTTATTCTGATTGGTCGAAAATTTGCTTCAACCAATCAGAGGCACTACCCAGATCTGGGAAGTGTTGCATCATCAGTATGGATTTTCTGTGCTCATTTCTCAGACATCATTTTGAAGGGGAAACCACCGGTGGCATCACAAAATGTTGACTGTCTTCTCAGGCTAACTCAGACACTCTTTTGGCCAACATCGTAAAATAATTTAGTACACACCTCTATACTGTGCACAGAGTGTATACCCACAACTAAGCCACGATACCAAGATCCATCCTCAAAGAGTGCACAACATGCCTGATAAACAAAAAAGATATAATTATCGAACAAGCTGCTGTCAAAGCAACCAATGAATGTAAACCTATACATCTTACTGTTTGGTATGTCCCACACCCTTTAAAATTAGTGACATTTTCTGGTGGAGGACTGGATGCTTTTTCCAGAGCTCAAAAAAAAATTCAGGACAAGAAGCTCTTATATTTTGCTTGCCCAGGGCCAATCCTTGTTTGTCTTAGTGATTTATTTACTAGATTACTTGCCTGGACCCTTTTGCAAGTGAGCTTGCAAAGTTACTTGCAAAGCAAGAAAATCTATTTATCCTGGATGACTGGACAAGACCTGTTTTTAGGCCCAATGTTCATCTATACAGGGGAGCAGCAAAAACGAAAGCCTCATAATTCCTGGTTTCCTTAGAAAAGCAAAAATAAGGAGGTTGGATCCATGCCATTTTTGTGAAGGGGGAAGCTGAGGGGATGTCCCCATGCCTTCTTTACTTTGCACAAGCCCAGCAAGAAATAAAATTTTTTGACCGGTTGGTCTAGTGCTATATTTAAAAGGCCTCCTAATCACATTTTCTTTGACTTGTCATGCAACAATGTAAAGTCCCTTAACATGACTAAAATATGTCAGCCAGCCCTGGTTGTCACAAAGATTTCACAGGGTTTTCATTACGAGTTCTAGTAGCAGGAGAAAGGTGCAAAGTAGCAGGAAAATATTTTGAAAGAGGCTCCACATCAGTGAATAAAAAATAGTCATAGGCTATTGAACATTAGCTGGAGAACTCTATGTAGTTAATGGAGAATTCTCCAATCTCCGATGCCTAATGAACACCCCAATAATTCAAGTTGCCAATTACATGCATAAGCAATAAGCAGCAAGGAAATTGAAAAGCTACAGGGCTGAAAATAACGGACAGCAGGTTGCCGGTCATGATGACTGGCCAAATATTTTTTATCCCGGACAAACCCCGATTCTGGCCTGACAAATAATGAATACTAATAATTTTTTTTCCCTAAGGAATATCCAGTTATGCTGGCAATAGATCATTATTACTACTTGACGTTCACATTTTTGACAGTAAATTGGTGAAAAATGCATTCGCACGTTGTAGAGTTCCTTTCCTCGGTTTTCGCGTGTTTTAATGTTACGTTCTACCTTGAGTATCATTGCACAGCGGTGTATAAAGTCTCTAGAGGTAAAAAGTGAAGCGTAAATCCTTTTCAAACTCCCAAGGTTCAGGAAACGGAATACACACACAGTTCAGCAAACTTTAGAAATTACGAAAAAAACAAAACAAAAAAATTGGGTTATTTTACAAAATCTGCACACGCTTGTTTTACGTTGATGTTCTGAAATGAACATCGGTGAAACTTGATCTTTTTCTTTGCCTGGCACGTGATCGAAAGTCACTTCCTCAAAGAAGAATCGTCGCTGATATTTTCAGCAAAGAAGTTGATTTGCATTGGCGAGAAGTTTGTTCCACAAACAGCGTGTTGATGATCAGAAGTCAATAAATAAATTTGGGTCATCGCGTAACATTTTATCGCAAAGGGCTTAAATGTCAACAGAAATTTGCATAAAGTTGTTTACAAGAACGAGAATCTAGCACCGCGATAGATGACGACCTTCCCTCTTGAGTAGCTTAAATCTTTATCAGACCATTCTGGAATCGAGTCTGCAAACGAGATTCATGTTTGACATAAAAGAAATTATTATTAATCGATGCGCTAACATTTATTTCCGGAGAAACACAGGACAACCTGTTGAGAATTGCGATCGATTTGCTTGAATTCCTTCGAATTCCCAAAGAAGGTCACATTGCTGATTACAGCAAAGCCGAAAGTACAGTACGACTTGCAACGTTGCGTTACTTTCCAACTCAGTTTGTTATTCACTTTGTTGCGTTAGATTACGACATGACGACATGAAATTAATTTATTGCGGCGTTCTTTTTCTTAGAAGGGTTTAGTGCAAAGCAGCAAAAAACGCCAAAGAAAAAAGAAATCATTGCAGCGTTATAGAGCATTAAGCGACAACTGTATGGAAAATAAAGTGTTTGTATCCAAAAATGACCGGTCAAAATGACTGGCAAAACCGGAGTTTGACCGGTCAAGTCCGTGATCAGGCCGGACATTGTCCGTTGACCGGCCGTTATTTGCAGCCCTGAGCTAGGAAGTTCTTTGGGTTTTAACTTTCTTTACAGCAAACAATTACTTTTAAGAAACATATTACTCTTGCTCACACTCACCTGTCCAACAGAAATGAACCACTCAGGCATTCTGTACCTTGCACTTTCTCTACTGGAATAAAACTGCCTGCAAAACAGGAAATCCAAAGTCAATAATTTGTTTTGGTTACTTAGAGAGAGGTACTGGAACGGACATCTAGAACAACAGAGTGGGGTTACACAGTGTGAAGCAAACCTCTCATAACTCCACAAAGCATCTTTTGACAAATGCCTATGGGAAGTCAATCCTACGAGGCTTTTAATAGGGTCAATGTGACCCCCCTTTAGGATTCTGTTTATAAATAGACTCAAATGTACAGTGTAACTGGAAATAATTCTGAGGGACAGGAGGAAAGTCTTTAAACCCGAAAATTGTAAAGGGCCTTTAAAAAAGTCATCCACAAGCTTAAATTATCCACCTTCCAATTCAAATCCCTCATAACCAATAACTACTCACTTCATCTCCTCAGTAAGAGCTTTAAGCTTCGGCCAGTTGTCAATAGTCATCACCCAGAAATGATGAGGATCAATAACATGGGTAACACAGACTTCGATGAATCCGCACTCCGGAAGCCTAACTTTAGAGAAGTATACTCCCCTTCCCACTCCATCAGGTAAGTTAAGCGGATTACCAGGCACAGTTGGAGAAACAGGATCTTTCGGTTTTTCTGTGGGAGCAGGAATTTCGCCATTCGTTCTTGAATAGTTTGTGGTTTCATTTTCCTTGTCTTCATCTACAGAGGATGTAAACAAAAAAATACTCAACAAAATCATATATCAAAGAGCTGATATCACAAGGAGAGAATTAATTTTCACCAACTTAAAAAAAGAACACATTTACAACTAACCTTTTCCAGCTAGAAAAAGAAGCCAGTCAAGCTTGGTAGGCCTTTCTATTCGAACAACATTTGGCATAGCAGACATAAACTCTATCATACTACTAAAACCTAGCATCTTGATATTGATTTCTCTGTTATGAAGTTTCTGAAATAGGAGGATATTTTACATGTAAGTGAGAATTGGTCAAGTACTGGAGACTAAATATTAATAATTATTTTATCTTCTAAATAATAACTTGTCTTAATTTATTTTTATATAGTTTATGTTTCATGAGGACCCTTAAATGACTATAACTATAGTTGGTCTGTATTGTTTTGGATCACCAAGGCGTAAATTTTCTAATTATATTTAGAGCAAACAGAGAAGCGATCACATTACTGAAATAGCTAACTATAGTTATCCCCGTCTTAACTATAGTTAGTAGCCCAGATTTGACCACAGCCAATAAAAGTAGATGGTTTTTTGTCCATTTGTATTTAAGAGCATGTAAATTGATGGCACCCAAGCAGGGTTTGTGGGTTAGTCTTAAGTTTACAAACAAACAACCAATCAGAATGTGACACTTCTTTTCGCACATGCTAGATGAGCATACATATGCAAAATAAAAACCAAGCGTGAAGCGAGGGGGAAACCAAAAACAACAAACAAAAAATTTAAATATGCTAATTAGAACTAACTGTTGTTAACTGCATGGTGTGACCGCAATGTTAACTGAAAGCACTAACTACAGTTAGGTATAACATCACGTAACTTGACACTAACTTAAGTTAAACTTTAGTTACGTCGCAGATGTGACCACAACCATTATCTCCAAATCAAATGCACCAATATGATTACTAACCACACACCTTGAATTCTATTGCAAAACGAGCTGCCCATATGCCATTGGGTCTTCTAGCCAACACCTTAAAATTAACAAACAACTGAATATTTAAGAGTTCATTATTATTAATAGTATGTGTATTTTAAACTAAACCTCCAACCTCACATAGCATAGAGAATTACAGATCACATACCAGCTGGCTTAAATGGGTAACACCAATTGAACCTAATCACTCTATACATATCTGGTCTTGGCGATAACATGGATTACTGGTACAACCTTTAACAGGGTGCAAAGGAAATCATTTTTACAACTTGCCATTCAGGCAAGCTGAAGCCAGCATTTACTAGTCCAGACGTCATTTCAACTAGCCCCACAAACTTTTTGACTAGCAGAATTGATTTCACAGTTTTTCTGTTATTCAAATTCCTCAAAAAACATCACCTGCTCGTTGGGCAAGTTAAAAACAGAATTCACTGGCCCGATAGCAAAATCCACTAGCGCCAGGCTGTCAGACACTACTTTCTTTGCACGCTGCTTTAAGGTGGCCGAAAACACAGTTTAGGCAGTTTGTGAGTATATGTCATTTGCCAAATTATGGCAAGAGAAAGGTTGCAGCTCACAGGCTGAAACTTGGGCAAGTGAAAAATATACTGATGAAAGATTTTGATTGACAGGTAAAATTTGACATTTTCGCAGTTTCAATGGCAACATGAACGACTGAACACAACCTTAAATTTTCACTTTTGCTTAGTTTACATAGGATTCTCTCATTAGATTTTCCTATAAACTTGCACACAGCTTATTATAATTAATCATTACCATTTGAAACTTATTTGACCAAATTTTAACAGACGGGTTTTTAGATAATCAATAGTATAATTGTACTGTAGTTATTAAATGTGTCACAAAATTCGTCTGTTCACCTTCCATTTTAAAGTAAGACTTCTGCCAAATATCACAAAATTTTAATAAGCAGATTGGGCGATTCCAGAAAATATCCATACCATACCACGGACGGCTTTTAGGATTTCCGAAGGGGAGGGGGGGTTCACGATTATGGAATTCTGAGGGCATGGGGGGGTATTTACGACTGGAAATCCGAAGGCATGGCGCAATTCCACAGGTGGGATTTCTGGAGTAGAAAGTGTAGAGTGAGTTCCTTGAAAACGCTATTGTTGTGGACTTTTGTAGTTCGTAAATAAACCACGAACGTATGACCGCGGAAGCAGAAGACAAGCATCGATAGATCAGACACGTGTTTACGCTCATAACTTATAGAAGTGAACAGTAAAACGTGGGTTTCACATTAACCTTGATGAATTTCTTGTCACATGAAAAAAAAAACGGAATATGTATCTTACTGCTTGCAAGTTTCTTGTTACTCTTCCCGTCCGATGAACAGTAAAAAAACTCGCACCAGTCCCTAGCTTCCCAGGAACGCCTGTCAGATTAGAACACTTTTCGTGCACACTACATGACGTATAAAAGGACGCAACGGGCCTCGACGGCATATTTGACCACCGAAAGATTTTAACGGTCTGAATTTGAGCTATTTTGCTTTGTAAACGTCAAAACAGCACAAGAAAACAAAGAGGAGTAAAATTGCCGTTAGTGGTGTTTATTTTTATTGCCAAATTCGGACCTACTAGCGGTAGGTTAGAGTCTGAAAGCTTGTCGCCTGGCGCCGCTAGATCACAGCCTTGAGGAAGCATAAAGTCATGTTCGTTTGTTCATATAGGCGTTGCTAAGTTGAAAATGTACTTCCAAAAAAACGGAAATTCTGAAGGGGAGGGGGGGTTCACGATTATGGAATTCTGAGGGCATGGGGGGGTAACGCATTTTGGAATTTCCGAAGGCAAGGGGGGGATAAAACATGGAAGCCGTCCGTGGTTGGGTATGGATATTTTCTGGAATTGCCCATTTTGTGAAATCGTCTTCTGTGCACCATTGCTTTATCGCCACCGTGTTTGTTCGTCTAATTTAAAACACTAGCCGTCACGCGAGTTGACGCTGACTGCCTGCAAAACTTTGTTCAGGGTACAAAGAAAGTCAGCTTTACAGCCTGCCATTCGGGCAAGCTGTAGCTAGCACGTACTAGCCCACAAGTCATTTCAACTAGCCCTCAAACCCTTCTTGATCACCAGGATTGCTTACAATGGGTCTGAATTTGAATTTCCCCAAAAAACAACACTTGCCCGTCGGGCAAGTTAAGAACAAAAATCACTAGCCCGATAGCAAATCCACTAGCCCCGGGCTATCGGACAGTACTTTCTTTGCATGCTGGTGTTCAGCCACCTTAATAACCCCAGAGTAAGGATAGAAAAGCATTTAAGTTTACAAACGAAACTTGAACTGTGCATTTTGCATGACTATTAAATCATCGTCTCAGTTTGATCAAAAAAACAAACTTTACCTCGATTGCTTGTACTAGCAATTTTTTACACTTGTTCGCCCCCTGAAATTCCACATGACATTGCTTTTTTCCCGTCAATCCTAACGCGCGTGCACAGATGGCGGATATGAATCGGGAGTAAGCTCAATTTTATCATTAAAAAGAGACATTTGTTTTTTATTAATGCCAAAAAGCCTCACAGGGGATTGTCACAATGTCTCATACCTGTCTACATTCCTCTTGTAACTGTTCATCAATTCCACTACTTTTATCAAGCTTCACTTTAATAGAAGACATGGTTTCTTGCTTACTTCTATTAATTTCTGTGTTGTTATTGTTATTGTTGTTAGGTGTGGGTCTATAGTTTCTCTTTTCAGCAGTGGCTTGGGAAAATGTTGGAGCACTTTCAGATCTGGTTGGCAAGCTGTCACCTGGATCAGCAGTTTTAACACCTGCTCATAAACAAGGAAAAAATAATTTATGCAATTCTTGACATTCCTATCACTACATTTTCTGGAATAAACACAGATTGGTCAATCTTGAAAGTGCAAAGGGCATCATTAACATGTAGTTGGAAACACTTTCACTTATTTCCAGACAAGAAAATAAAACAAAAAACAACTTAGGGTAAGGTGTTCCTTCAATCAACTAGTCCAAGGTTTCTGAGGAGCTAACACAAATCTTGGTTCATAAAAGGTGACAAACTAATGTTATTGATTGCCCACCAAGCAAATTGTTGGAAAAAAAGAGAATAACCCAAGGGGTTCCACTTTAAGCCCTAGGTTATCAGGGTTTCAGGGCTTGTACAGATTTTCAGATCCAAAATTCAAGACTTCCAAACTTCTTTCTAAAACATTAGGGCCATTTATACGAGGAAAAATAAGACGCGTCTTATACAAGACGCGTCTTAAATAAGACGCGAACTGTACCATTTATACGAGCATGTCTTATCTAGTAAGACGCGTCTTAGCTAAGCTGCGTCTTATTTTAGACGAAATTTGCCGTTTATACGGAAAATTCGCATCTTATGTAAGACGCGTCTTATTTTTCCTCGTATAAATGGCCCTAATAAATTCTTTTTCCAGACTCAAGGTTATCAAATAGGTGATCAAAACAGACCTTAAAAAACGAAGGAACAAAGCTTTTTTCACGATGCACTGCAAACGTAGTGGTGAGATTATATAAGATTTGACCAAAATGAAAAAAAACTTTCACTTATAAAGCATTTGTTGCAGCTTTGAAAAAAACTCAAGACTTGTTACCATTTTTCCAGACTTTTTCCAGCTTTGGCAAAACTGTTGGGCAAATTTCAAAACTTTTTCAAGAATTTAAGACTGTGTACGAAACCCTGGTTTTTGTTACACCCTGGCTTTAGGTTAACTTCTATCAGGTGTTGATCAGTAGTGAAAATAGCCTTAGCATTTATCCAAGGCAAAAAAAAGTCTACAGAATTTAACATACCTAAATTAACTTTATCATTTGTTTTCCCATAAACTCTGTATCCTCCACCTCGCATATCTTCAATTCTCACTATATCTGACATTGACTCAAGAAGATGGCCGAGTGATTTAAATCTAAGCTTTTCATAACTGAGTTCCTGACCAAACCTGCGATGGAATGCTAGTGCGAACATTGACCCTAGCAAGCCAGAAGGATAACCACTTAAAAGTTCTTTTATCTGCGTTCTTATAAAGTGAGGTACTACAGGTTCTCGTTCCGGGCGATATGTAGTAGGGCGAGTTTTTCTCTTAGGTGCAGACTTTTTTTGACGAGACACTAGACTAGCTATGTGCCTTGTTGCAGCATCTGCGATCCCTGCAAATTGACAAGATACAAATTACATTTTACGAACACAAGCAAATAAAAGGTAATTTCAGAGAGAATCTTGCAAGTTTGATAGAAGTTACTCCAGGCTTTTTACCCGGGGGGGCATACTCCAGAATTCAAGTAATGGGGATGATTGAATGGGGGAAAAAATAAAAAAACCAAAAAATCCCTAGGGGTTCCAACAAAACCCCCAAAAATCCCTAGGCCAAAAATTAACCCACAAAAAATCCCATGCAGAATTTCTGAGCCTCGAAAATTTCCAAAGTAACACGAAAAATTCTCCAAATAATCCCTACATAAATCAAGCCACCCCAAAAAAATACTTGCCAAATTTTCCCACCCCCCAAAAATCCCAGAATTGAAAATTTGAAACCCAAAAAAATCCTTTGATCATCCCCATCACTTGACATTCAGAGCACCCCCCTGGCACTTTTTATTCCAAGCAAACCTTCAAATAAACCTTTTTCAACCTGACCTACCAACTTCTCTTGGTGGTTTTGTCTATTTACATGTAAATCCTCAATACACCTAATATTAGCATGACCATGCCAAACTTCTTTGAAAGGAATATCATCATGCAAAGACTGTACCAAAGAGATCTCTTTCTTTTTTCTATTGTTTCTGAAATGCTCAACACACTCCACACCGAAAAACGTAACACTTTGTACCTAAGGTTTAACAACAACTGCCATATTGTAATTCAGGTTTGTGTGCTTTTTTATTTAATTTCGTATATTTGCTCAAGGCAGATGGTACTTAGATGAACAATCCTGATGAAAGCTCTTAATTTTTCCAAAACAGCCGGCTTGAACTGTCATAACCCCAGGGGCCCCACTCACATATTTTAATGACGGAGGAGTCCAAAGGATTCTTTTGGGTCTGACATTTTGGCCAAAAGGGATTTTTTTGGGTCTATGAAAGCCGCCGGGATTTTTTTGGGTCGCGAAAACAACGGAGGGATTTTTTGGGGGTATTGTATTTTTCACCAGCTCAAATAAAAAATAACATAAGCGCAATTTATAGTTTTGTTTTTGACCAAAACCAAAGTTGAAGTTGGCATGTTTTAGCTTTCCAGAAGATAAATAATAAAATTTGCTGATGCAAAAACACTGAGGGATTTTCTGGGGTATGCTAAAAAAAGTAGGGATTTTTTTGGGTAGACAAATTCTGAAGTTGGGACTTTTTGGGGTATAAAATATGAACCTCTGTCGGACCCCCCCGTCATTAAAATATGTGAGTGGAGCCCCTGGGGTCATAACATAAAACAATGAACTGAAACGTATTGTATGTGCAGCTTTAACTGTTCATTGAAACATGCAGAATCACAATCTTCTTTCTAGCTAGTACGATCAGTTGTGAACAATTAAGCTTGTGCTTATAAACCGCCTACCTCTCAAAACCAATACGCCATTTTCCCAGGTTGGTCGAGTGACATTCGGCATGTCTTTGAGCAGGTCTAAAGGTGTCTTGTACCCCATTTCACGAAACGGAAGCGGTCTTCCCATCCAGGTATTATAGTCTTTTTGTATTTCGGCCACTGTAAGACCATGTGGTGCAGAAATAAGAAGGGCGCGGATATTTTTAGTGACTTGAAGGCGAAGAGCTTCATCTCCACGTGACGAACTGTCGTTATCTTTCGCCATTATTTCTCGCTTTGACGCCGCAATTTAACTCGCTTCAGATTCTACACATGGTCCTAAACCCTCTTCAAAGTCAAGAGAAAGGCGTTAAGCCAAATAGCACGTCAAATTTCCCGCATTTTGAGAACTGAACTGGCTAATCCTCCGTTCAAGAAATCTGATGCCCTCATATAAAAACGCGGGTAACAAAACAAACCGCGCCACAACAATGGACGTGACAAACTGGGCCTGAACCTACCCAGAAAACAACGGGCTTATAATTTTCCAACATGGCGGACGGATCTTGGATGGATTGGTCTTGGCATGTGGAACGGTTTTGTGAATATTTAACTCAATTTCAGCAGTAGAGGTCGTGTCACAAACTAGCTCGAGAAAATTTGTACTGGTTACTCTTTAAAATGGAATCAGTGAGTGATCAGGTGACCAAAGTAGAGGTGGGGTATGAAATTCCAACTTGGAATAACTGGACCCCTTTGGCAAAGTTTTACCACCCTTTGCAAGCAGGTAGCATTGATGGAACTGACACATTGCCGCATGATAAAGCTGTTTCTCGTGCTGTGGAAGCAAAATGTAAGTAAAGAATTGAGTGAATAGAAAAGTGTTGCACTCAATAAATACAGTCATCTGGCCATCCCAATAAAATGTTTCGTTTTGCATCGCCCTTCCTCTCGTGAAGGTGGGTCGGTCGGTCGGGCCAAAAAAAACAAAAACAAAAACAAAATGAACACATGATTGCATATTAACACTCACGTTTAGTCTGCAAGATATAATCAGATGGTAAAAGATGTATATTAACAGGACTATCAAATGTCTAAAAAGGCTACAAAAACGAAGTATCGACGATAATTTAAGACAATTGGTGTTAATAAGACAAGATCGTGTGTTTGTAAATTAAAGTACTTGCTTCTTTACAAGTGATTCTGGAATTTTTTATTTTTACTTTTCCAAAAAATGGGTCGGTCGGGCGATGGGAAACGAAGCATTAAATTGGGATGGCCTCTCTAAAAATGAAAGTTCCACTGATGTGCGTGGAATTAACGGAGGGGGGGACACCACATATGAAAGGGGTGGGGATGCTTGTCGGAAATTTGAATTAAACCCCTAAAGGAGACTGATCTGGGCGTGGCCCAAGCTTTTTTTGACCCCTAAAAGAGACCATGTTAAAACACAGATAAATGATAAAACTTGGATTATATGAATGAAGTAAATAAAATGAATTAAAAATATACATATCAAATATATATTTTTACATTTTTTTGTGTGCAACCCTAAACGAGACCTTCACAGCTAAATAAGATGGTGTTTTGCCCAGAACACCCTAAGTGAGACCAAAATCTGAAATTTACATCCCTAAGTGAGACAAAGAGCATCCCCACCCCTTCCATATGCAGAGTCCCCCCTGGGGGACTTAAGCAGAATCACCAGGAATTTAGAGGACTTGAATTGCTGACTTCTCCAGTTCCACGGTACAGGGTGGGTTGTGGAAAATAATTATAACTAACTATGAGACAACTAAAATACTTGACCCTTCAGAAAGTGACATTTTAATAAAGAAAACATTTTTGATAGCAGAAAGCGAGTTGACAGTAAGCAATATAACTTTCTACCATATGTGTCTGATATCTTTGTTTTCCTGAAATAACTGTAAAGGGACAAGCAGAAAATATCCCCAAGTGATATCTGATAAATTATTTACAGATTCTCCTTTAAATGGCCTTATGTTTGCTTGTGACCTTAACTTGGCATGAGATAGGGAGGCAGCGTGGCTAAGTGACTGGCCATGGTGTATTGGACTTACATTCAAGCAGTACCTGGTTCGAGTCCCACTCCGACCGCTCGCAGAATTTGTTTCTTGGTCATCCCAAGGTCAAATCCCCTGCCATGTTTGAGCCTAACTGGTTGCTTTCTGCACGGTCAGCTGGGTTTTTAAATCTCTTTTTGTTCTATTTGGAGTTTTTGTTTCTAGTTATATTATTATTTGAGTGGAGTGCCTGTAGACAATATGTAGCTTAAAAAGCTAAGTGCAGTTTAACTAAAAACTTTTAGAATATAATAAATGAGATCACAAGCCACCTACGAGGTTTTTTTCAATGCACCACTTCCTTGTTTACTATTGTTTAATTGATATCTTTCCTGGCACTTTAACAGTCTATGTGAAGCTCAGTGAAAGTTTGTTTAACTCTGCCATTTCTTGTTTATAACTTGTAGATAAACCAAACAAGAGAGTATCTGGTGATCCTGATAAAATTTTGTTTGTTGGAAAGCTTAGCAAGGACACCCGTGAAAGTAAGACTACAACTCAATCATTGATTATATAATTGTTCTGCAGTAAAAAGTTAAGGTATCAGCCACCCTTAAAATTGCCATTTTTCCATATTTGAGATTTCAACGTTTTCAAATAGATATGCTTGAGAGCTTTCTTTTAAAAAAAAAATCAGAAGAAAATATTATTTCTGTCGAAAGATATCGGGGGTAAAAGATTTTTTCTCGTTAACTATCTTAATATGATCGTTGACAAGATCTGTCATACCCGTGTCATATATCAATTAACTTGCCTGTGAACTAGTAACGTGATACCGAGTGCGTGCTTCGACACAACACGTGCGAATTGTCTTCGAGTTGTTTATAGCCTTTAGTATTCTCCGTGGATATTTAGCGTTTGCTTCGAAAATGCCGCCAAAAAAAAAAATAGAAAAGGTCGCGTCCGTTTTCGTCATCGAAACCCGAGAGCGAAAAAGAAATCGAAGAGCGAGTTTGACAAAGAATGGGCCGCAAAATTGGGAGAGCGACAAAGGCTCATTTTATTAGCAAGAGAAGTGACTCGAGGAGTTGGATATTCAGAAAAGCGAAAACGCTGCAGTTGCTGAGAGTGCAAGCCGCTCCAAAATCCAGCTTGACGAGCCAGATGAAGAAAGCCAATTAAGCTCATCGACCCCATCTGCTGATGGAACGTGGAAAACAATAAGCGGTCGAGCTATCGTATCGAGCAAAAAGCTGCTTGAGAAACTGGACAAGTCTGTATCTTGTCGATTTTGCCAGGGAAGAGTCCAATTCATGGAAAATGTAGCGACTAAGCATGGACTTGGTTCTACCTGGAGAATCCAGTGCGAGAATGAAAGCTGTCCGTCGCACAAGACAAATTCTGTTTTTAGTTCTTCCGAGAAGAGCAGAGCGTTTGAAATATACCGGGCCTCAGTTTTTGGCCTTCGAGCAATCGGTGGTGGACATTCGGCGGCTTCAAAGTTTTTTAGTTTCCTTGGCCTGGCGCCGATCAACAAAAACGCCTGGGCGGATCATACAAAAAAGATCGAAGGAGAGGCAAAACTTTTGCTCGAGAAAGAATTAAACCGTGCTTCTCGTGGTGTAAAAGAGTGGAAGTTTTCCAACGGAGAATTAAACTGTTCACTTGAAGATGTTGATAGCAATAAAAAGTTTGTTCCTGTTACATGTTACCTGTCAAAGTCCTATTGTTAGAGAAAATTGATCCCTCTCTGATATCGATCAGAATAAACAGTTACTTATAATCTCATTCCAAGTAGGATGCCGCCAAAAATGTATTTTCTATTTTATCTCCGAACGCAAATTTTGCCGATCGACTCGTACGTTTTGAAGTCCAAGTCGGCAGCCTTTCAATCAATTTGGCTAAAATTTGGCCAGAGTGATGCCATATACCTCTTCTACAAAACCGTGTCTGCGAATTTTAATACTCCTTTTCATTTTAAAGCTAGAGCTTTTTTTCCACAGTGAGTGTTGACTTGTTGCCTTCCCCAACTTCATTTGCTAATAAAAGAAAAACAAACGCACTTGTCAAAAATCTGAGACACGGTTTTTTAGTGGAACGTGTTGAGAAGCGAATGCGGTGTTAATTGTTTTCTTCCGTTTATCTCCGGCGGGAGTGGAACATGATTTATAGAGACATGTACTTTTACACAAAGCGTTCCGATTTCGAAACACATTTAAGTAAATCGTTTTTGTTAGTTCAAATCCATAATCTGGAATTATTAAGCTTTTAAAAAATATATGGTTTATAGGGGTTTTTATAAAAACAACTAACGCTACAGCGATCCGCGCTCGGACGGTCCTGAAGGGTGGCTGATTCCTTAAATTTATAAAAAAAAATTTGTGGAACTGTAGTATTATTAATTCCTGCAAATACAACCCAGCCTATGATATGTTAAGATAAGAAATTTGACCAACTTTAATTTATAATTTATATCATTATCCAATCATGGTCTCTTTCTTTACATTGTTCCTCAGAACAAGGAGCTTTATGCTCTAAACTTTTAATTACAGCAGTCTTTTTCCTCTGCAGTCTAAACAGTCTTTTCCTCTGCATCCTCTTCTTATTCTTACCAGTACAGCCCCATGAGTACCTTACAGGCAACCATGACAGTTTTCCCATTAAGTTTTTTTAAGTTTCATGTTTGCACCTTTTAAATCACATGACTCAGATGGCTAACGTTTGTGATGGAACCACCCCTCTTACCTCAGGTAGAGTTGTAATCTCACTAATCTTTCTCTCAAGATGTGTGAGAAAGTAAGTCACTAACAGTGCTTATCATTTACACTCAAACCACCCGGGTAGAAATCTTGTGCATAGACTTAAAACTACACTGTATAAAATTTGACTTGGTAGGAGAATGACCCACGACAATGTATATCCAAATCAGCTGAACAGACTAAAAAGAGTAGAAAAATAGCATCCCCTCAAATCACAGCCCATGTTTTGTGAAGCCCCCCAAACACAATGGTGCAAAGCATTTGATTTTCTAACCAGAATTTTCAGATTTCCTATGTAAGTGGGAAGTACCCAGTGTCACCTGTGTTGAATTGCCATACATTTCTTACTTATCAAAAGATAATGCATTTAATAGTCACCCTGAAGTCATTTTTAATACTGAGAGGTACAGCAGATCATCAGCCTTTCTGTAATCTGAACAATTTTTAATCTGAGCATTGATTTATCTCAGTTTGGGTTTTGTTTCAATTTTCTCCAACAGACACCGTATACAAAGTATTTGCTAAATGTGGAGAATTAGTGAGGTGCAGGCTTATCAGAGATGTTGGTAAGCTTACAAGTTTTGAAATGTTTATCAAAATGAATATATTATTACAGCTTTACAGTTTGATTGTTATTGAATAAGCTAAATTAATGAATTCAAATATTATATGTCAGTACTCAGACAAATTGGACTTGTCAGCACTTTTTACAATGAATGTGATTTCTTTTTTATTCAGTTACCGGATTTTCAAAGGGCTATGCATTTGTAGAGTACAGAAGTGAAAGGGATGCTAATGTGGCCTGGAGGGTAAGCAGTCTAGAGTAGATTGTCCACTGTGCCTTTCAAAATAACAGTGTTTTTCAATAAAAATCTTTTTTACCTGGAGATTTCAAGACCGTGTGATCTTTTTTAACCATGGAACCCCATGGTGTTTGGTGAAATTCCAGTCATTTATTAGGCAGCTCTTCTCGTTTTCAACAGGAGAAAGACCTTGCAGTGATCTGTCATTAAGCCTGAAAAATTCACAGTTCAAATAAGTGAACTTCATTATTATAGTATTCCTAATTTTTTAAAAAATAATCTTTCATGTAGTTATTGACTCTCATACATAACAAAATGTACTTTCTCTTAAAGACATCATTGTTAAAATTTGCACTTTTCTTCTGTTTTTTTTAAAATGGATTTTAGGAGCTGCATAATTACAAGATTGATGGTAGTACTGTATTAGTGGAGTATGAAGCAGCCAGAACTCTCAAGGGATGGATTCCAAGACGATTAGGTAAACATCATGGTGCAGTTCATCGGTGTATAATCATTGTATAAATCACCTGTCAAATTATTCTCTTACAGCATATTCTATTGTATATACTTTTATTTATGACCATTGTCATCAGCCTTTTCCTTGTCCATTCCAGTCAAGTAGCTATTAAAAGTTAATCATAGACAGTTATTCATATGATGCTTTTAAATTTTTGACTCTTCCATGTCTCTTATTTTCATTTTTGCTGTGTGGCTTCTAGATGCCAGTAAAAAAAAAATCCAAAAAAACTGTTTCATCAGAATTTTTCAAACACCTGTCAATTGGGAAAAAACTACTCAACTTCTTTGTCTTACTTGTCTACTTTGTGGTTACAGCTGAGAATGCCTATATCAGTAGTAAGCCTTTTACAGCAAGTTGCTCTGCAATGGGTCAACAGTGTATTCAAATAATCAATAACATTATCTTCATATAAACGACCCATAAAGATGCTTATCATCTTCCAGATATTCTTTGACTAATAATAACATTATTCTCTCTATAAAAAGTTGGACAGGTTTCTGAGGTTTGAGCGATAAAGGGATTTACTATTTTGAGGGTGAAAAACTTTGATTGTAGCTACACTAGTGGCTATTTTTTGTTTCCTGATAAAATGTTCCCTCTCTTAGCATAGCAATCATGTTGATAAGATAAATTCTGCCATAATGGGCCATTTGCACTAAGAGGTCATGTGACATCATTTTTATGAAAATGAAAGTTATATGATTTTGCCTTCAAAAAAACCATTAGTGGGTCATATCTTAAACAAAATAATAGTTATTTAGTTTTTCAAACAAGCACCATTTTCTTAAAATGAGTAAGTTCTTAGCTGGTCAAGTGACCAGAATGTGGTTTTTAAAACTATGAATTACCTCTTTCTGAAAAGAAATTTTGCACTTAAACTTTAAGGAAATTGTTGAAAAGATGATGTGGTAACGTTTTCAGTACATCTGAGCGTAACTATCAAACGTTTAACAAGATACAAGGAAAAAGTAGTTTTGGCCGCTATGATGGAGGGCAACAGTATGCCCTCCAACATGGCGGCCAATACAAATCATACTACTTTGTTGAAAAATCAAAGTGCCATAAAATATCTCTCTTAAATGCATTTTCTCCGTCAATTTTTGGCATCAGCAAGATTCCAACTCATTGTTTGAATGAAGCATTGATCACGTGACCTCTTAGTGCAAGTGGCCTATCAGGCTGATTTGTAGCATTGTTCTTGTCATCAATCCTGTGTGTAGGTTGGAATTTCTGTTAACTTTTTGTAGGCGGTGGTTTTGGAGGAAAAAAAGAGTCAGGACAACTCAGGTTTGGAGGAAGAGATCGGCCTTTCAGGAGACCAATGTATGAATTGAGTACCATCATTTGAGTGTTTTCATCTTAGTGACTGTAATCCTGAGTAACGTTAAAAGCATTGGTGAATGTTTGCCAGCCTGTGCAGAAGTCATCATCACAATCAATAGCAAATGTTAACGATTAGATTTGCCCAGAGGTTAAAAACTGTAACAAAAATCTTTTCAAACGTCTTCGGTGCATTTTACTTTATTTGAGTGTCAATGTATTTAGCAGGAAGGTACTAACTGGGGACACTATAACGTCTCTTACTGGAGACACGACCCCCGTTTTACGTGTCCATCCGAGCCACGCGAAGGTCTAGCCGCTTGCAGGGCAAACTGGGCAAAGGCAGTGCTTTCACAGTTGTTCTAAGACCTTGAGTGACGGTCCGGCTCCGGGAATCGAACCCGCGACCTCCCGCTCTGCAGTCAAAGTGCTCTACCGACTGAGCTAACCCTGGTTAAAGACTTTCATGTACTTTCAGCAACAATCCGTCTCTAATTATAACATGACTTCTGCATCCAAATTTATTTGGTTACCCACTGCACCCTTCCCTCCCCTGATCTGCCAGTGACGATCACGTAGCTAACTACGCGGTTTCTGCCATTTTCTCATCAGACCAACTGACCAGGATGGAAAGCAACATAAATACTTGCGTGGATCACGTGATCACGAAGGTGCTCGTTCTGCACGTGAAAATTACCGTGATAGTTATCGTGAACGACGATGGGAAAGCTCTCGCGCTGAGCGTGAACGTGATGGATACCGTGAAAAACGTGACAGAGACAGTTCGCGAAGTAGTTCTCATTATAGAGACCGCGATGACGATTCTGATGTGGCTCGTGATTGGCAAAGATATCGTGAACGTGACAGTGATAGGACGCGTGATAGTGAGAGATCACGCGACATCGAAAGGTCTCGTGATAGTGAAAGATCACGTGACCGTGGTGGAGAACGTTACAAGGATCGTGGGCGTCATGGGGACAGCGAAGGATACCGTAACAAAGATAGATATAGTTATCGCGATAAAGACAGAGAGAATTATGACACAAGTCGTAAGAAGTACGATGCATACTGTGGCACTGATCAAGAGGAGGGTGAGATTGGATAGCTTGAGACATTAGAATAACGGACAGGTTGCAGTACTCTTAATTACAAGCTGTCAGTCCGTAATTTGCCAGAGGGTGTGGCTCCTGATTGTCTGTGTAAAGGCAAGCGGTTCTTCTTAAGCTTCACTCGAAGCGTTTTTATTGCTTGAAGCCCAAGAAAGCCTAGTCTCTCTGGTAGAGACAAGAAAAATTTTCTCTCTCCCTTTTGTCTTTGTTACCTCTTAATATGAGGAAGAAGAGAGAACATGAAGGCAAAGTTGGTGTTGTTCCCAGGCCCAGCTTCTTGCAGTCTACGACGAAAGCAAATCATGATCCAGATCTCAGGAAAAACCAAAAACTCCTTAGACAGCCCTTTTTAATTGTTTTATTGGACAAGAACGAATTCGAATGTTTGCACTGTGATTAACGTTTTCCACCTTTGGAAAGACCAGTACATGCGCAACAGGTTCGGTTGCTTTTATTTATTTATTTATTTATTTATTTATTTATTTATTTATTTGCACGCCCTGTGCACGTCAAAAAAACTTCCAAACCACGGAAGCCTTTCATGTCTAGCCTGCCAGCAGGCTCACTGCCTCCATCCAGTGAGGAAAATTTTCCCCTGAATTCGCACAAGTGAGCCTGCCCGCAGGCAACTTCAGATGACCGAATATGAATTAACGGTACAAACTTCCTTCCGACTACCGCGGTATTTAAGGCCTGGTTGGTGGTAATGTCGGAATTTGAACTGACGACGTACATCAACAAACCAGCGCTCTATTAATTTGGCTAAATGGGTGTTAGCATCACCACACCCCCGCACATAATGGAAGATATCCAGGCGGCGAGACGAGGTAGCCTTCACTCGCCGATATTTTTCTTATTTGAGCCCGTTTTTTGCCTTTCTCCCCCACTGCGGAGCCTGGTCCCAGGCTACCTATTAGCGCAAATCCGAGAGTCTGCATTACAGCTTTGACCGTTCGCCCACGCCGATTTTTTTCTCCTTTTTCCCCCAATGCGGAGCCTGGTCCCAGGCTAGCTAATGGGAAGCTTAAGCAACGACCCCGGCACCCGCTACAAAAACGTTGCCTCAAACTTCATCGCACTTATTCCATCTCGTTTAATTCGTTAAATGTTGGCAAACTTTTTCGGTGTTGTATTTTAAAGGACTGCATCGAAGTTCTGGGAAACAAAAAGAAAGTCGTTAGGCACTTTCACGTTGTAGTCATGCAGCGACGGCAAAGAAATGTACAAAAGAGCGTGATGCACGTGCAAAGTTATTGTTTTATTTTTCTAAATTTCTTGCTTTTTTGCCGTTCTCGTTCTCCCTATTGTGTCTGTATTAAGGGGGTTAAGCGTTCTTGAGCGACGGACGTCAACCTAGGCCTTTTCCCTCTTCACATGCCTTGACGATATAAAATTTGGAGGTTTGAAAAATTTGGGCTTCATTAAATTCCACTAACTCAAAAACGCCACCTTTGCTTAAAGCTCCCAATGGCTCAGTGGCTCATACATCCATCATTGGTGCTGTGGAGATAGGAGAGAATCCCGAACCCCCTTCTTCCAGTTATTCGTAGTCCAAACGGAGGACCAAGAATTTTCTTAACAACCACCATATGACCAGCATGCCCTACCTCAAGGTCTTAATCCACCCCTGAATGTTAACCACTGTATTATTCGCTTCTAAAACAGAAACCGAGTAATATATTTTTCGTCAACCTCGTCCCCAGGGCGCTTTTCCCGCCCCCAAAGCCAGGGAAAAGCGCCCTGGGGACGAGGTTGATTTTTCGTGTGAATATCAGTATCATTTTTTCCTAGTCCTTCTACAAATGAAACAGCTTCTCTTTATATTGTAATATATTTGATGCTATAAAAAGATTAATATTAATTTGCGGGATGCATGCTAATACTCAACCCTTTTCTTGTATGCCTCAAAAAGGAAATAAAGAAATTTCCGTTCCATTTTAAAAACTGACCAGTTTAATTGGTGTATGTGACGTCTATGGGAAAGTCAATTATATTGTTAAAAATATCTTCACGTACCAATGTATCTGCACTGAACGGGCCATGAAACACGAACATTCAAAAATATTTATTTTTAAACTATCAGTTGATTTTAGAGAGAACCATAAAGCTAACACTAAGAGAAATTTCGTTCTTCGACCTTTCCTCCCTAATATGACTTGTGTAAAAATTTCGTGATGAAGGAACAAAGCAGATACCAATTTATGTGCCTTTTTTTCCTTCTTCTGTATCCATTTGGTAAATGATGTGCCAATTGCCGTGATGTTGATTACCTGTCTGGAGAACGCTGACAAGCTCTGAAAAACAGCTCAGCTGATATGAGCAGTGAATTTAGATGATCACGGCAAGTTAACAGGCGACAAAGAAATTTACAAAATTCTTTTTGAAAAAGCTGTGTAGTAGGCGTACAGTATGTATCAATAAACATTAACTAGATCGCACGTCATTCTGTTAGCGTTTTTGCGAGAACAGGATGCCAGGGAGGAAGAGTGGTCAGTATTTATCACCAAGCTCAATTGATTTAAAGGGGTACTTGATAAATAATTCACCGATATTTGGACTTGTTTTGATTCCAGATTCTTCGATGTTACGTAAAAAGGTATAGTTCAAAACCACTTTTTGTTGAACGTATTTTAGGTGTGAACCAAGTCCTCTAAAACTTTTCATCTGTTCGGATTTCCTAGTAAAGTTATAGGGATGAAATCCAACGAAAATTTCAGCCAGGAAAAGACTTAAAATTCTTTGCCCCTTTTACGCCGTTTACAGGGGGTAATCCAGGATTTGTTTTCGAAAATCCTAGGAGGGGGCAGCAAGCGTGTCTTGCTCTAATGTTCAAAAATTCTACAAACCACATAGTTCTTTTCTTTTTTTTGCCCCAGAATACCAGTTGTGTTATGAAAACCACAGGTCATCTCAGCTGAGATCCAACCCTGCGTTTTAAGATCCGCCCCTGAGCAAATAAAAAAGACTAAACCCAGTCGCCAAGATAACCTCGAACCCAGATCGTGTCAGTAAAGTAATGGGTGAATTTATATGTCGTTCCTTTTAAAGCCTGGCATCCCGGCTAGAATCATAAGAATGCGTTGTTTGGTTTAGAGTCTTCTCAAACTGTTAATGCTTCAGTACTTTCATTATGCATTAATTGCTTCCGTTGTTCTGGTCATTGACTACTAATGAGATAAGAATTCAAGAGATCTTCTTTCGATTTTGGGGGGTACTCAAGATAAAAGAGAAACCTTGAAATCCTCACCCGACTTTTAAAATGGTATCATTTTATACCAAACCCTCCATGACCGAAAACATTCCTATATAGTTTCCTTAAACTAGAAATGCCGTTTTAATGAAAATCGTGTGGGCTTTATTTAAATATATATATATTTTTATATTGTCATTGAAAAATAGGTGACTTTCTTTTTCGAGACCCCTTGAGATAGTAGCCTCCATCATAGCAACCGGACCTGGCACTTGAAAACTTGAATGTAGGTGTAGACTTTCTGTGTATGGAAATCGAGTGTCTGCGAACTCGCGCCACAGAGATAGTAGAATGAGAGCTGAGTTTTAAATGGAGATTGGTCCACGCACCTGACGAACCACGCGAAAAGTCACAGGGGAGCTTGTCAAAGGCTTTTCTGAAGGGAGAAAGGAAAAAAGAGTCCTCAAATCCCCTCTCTCCAAAGCGTTTAATAGTGAAGGTCAATACTCAGGTTAGCAATCTTCACGAGCGAGAGAAATATTTCAAAACTAAACAAAGTACTTCAACGCCATTTTGAATAATCAGAGCCCTACTGACGATCTGCCAAGGAAATGAAAAGAATGAGTGCTCAATATACTCGAACAAAATGTATGTGATTTTGAAAAAGTCACCTTCAGCTCAAGAGAATTTCACGTCAAAAAGGCAAAGTACTTTTTAAGTGTATCAGCCCTGTATCACAGACGCCTTGCATGCGTACTATTTTTGAAACCTCAAATATTGGAATTGTTCCTTGCACACGTGTCAAGTCAGCTGGCTGTGACGCACAAGCTTATACAAGAGAACCATTGCATAAAATAATTTGTGGTTGAGTGTTGTTTCCTTTTTTTTTAGACTGTGTATAGCCGCACCCTCTTCTCAAACAAAATCGAAGAGACAAAGATCCTTGCTCTTTTTTGGTTTAACCGTATTTTATTGGCAAGAGTCTCCTGGTATATGGAAATTCCATATAAGGCAACAGGCTTTGTTAAACATACTGAAGATCACTGACGGACTTTTTTCAGGGACCAGAGACCAGACAACAAAATTAACATGTAGACTGTAATGAAAAATAGTACAAATATAAGATTATTGAGATCAACGGATTACTACAGGGACCAGCTGCTATCCCAAAACGGACAGTACACAGACTTACAATAGCAAAATAATGATTAAAAAAATCAGGCAGAACTTTCATTCATAAATGCCCACTGTACATATGATTACATCCCATAAGCCACCCCGGAAGTTGATCAGTTTGGTTCTACTAAGAAGACACCGCCCGAATTTTAAGGCTAGCTGTCTAAAGGTGAAATGAAAGTGCAGAAAAGGATCAAATCGTTAAAAATATTTGCTTAAAATTATTTACTTTCGGCAGAAAGGTTATTAGCATTGTCTACTAGAAATTAAAAAGCGACGAGACGACGACTTGTGAGAAGTTTACACGTCGGTCATTTTCCCCCATCAAATCCCAGGAAATCGGTTCACGCTGTAAAAAAATTTAGTTCCCTGGCACCATGTGATTTATTTCATATACATCTATAATGAATATGACAGTGAACAAAATGTTTATTTTCCTCCAGCTCTCAATATAGGCCGAGTTCAATCACCAAAACTTCAGCAAATACTCAGACAAAAATTATTACCGGCTCATTTCACGCGTTCGTTCTAGCATGAAACCAAATTATTCACAGACTTTATGCATCAGAAGAGTTTTATTCACTTCTAGAAACTAATAAATATATAATGTAACTCTAAGCTGTGCGTGGCAAATTCTTGCTCGAAAGTACAATAATAGGCTAGTGGTAATACCCACAAATGAAAATCTACAGCCTTTGTGGTCACCTTTCATCCAATAATCTTTTGTTTGCCGAAACAGTTTTAAATTTTCATGAGAGCTGCGGTAAACAACTGGATGTCATCACGATAGTCGATATGACCAATCAGCAAGTGAATTAGCCTGCTCTTGTGTCGGCCGTCAAATATTTATTTTTTGTTGTGACATCACAACGTTATAAGCGAATTCTTGAGAGGTTGTGATACGGTAGACTGAGCATGTCAAGAATAGCGCAACTCAACGACAGCTCCACTCTTCTCGCCGGATTGTCAATATATTTTTGTCCGTAATTGCACTTTGATCCTCCTGGAAGAAAAGAAAACTAGGTGGAGAAGAGAAAGTGATGGCGAGACACGATTATTAACTTGTTTAATGATGAGAGTTGTGTGTTGAATGGTTCAACTACGGTGGTACAGTTCTTCACAGGTGGATACAACATGACGTCTGTGCTACCGGCTTGGAAGTTAGAACTTATACAAAAGAAGAAGCTAAAAGAACAAGGTGAACGACAGAAACTCGAAGATGAAAGATCAAGAAAAGTGTCCATTCCGGAGTGGAAAAGATCTTTGTTAGAAAAAAAGAAGGAAGGCGCTAACGATTCGCCGGAAACGAAAGAACAAGCTCAAAGTGTCAACAGCGTTTTTGGGCCCAGAATTATAAGAAAGACGTCCGAAAAGACCATAGCAATTGTGAATGCCAGCCAAAGGCCTGATGCCAAAGCCGACGATGGAAAACTTAGCAAGAAAAAGGTCTTCGAAGACAACCCGACGCAAAATCATAGCCCTTTGTATTCAAGCCCGGCGGACTCGAATAGTTGTGTTACCAATGTTGTCGAAATTCCGACAGAAGAGGAACGAAAACCAAACAAATGTGGGTCTCTTCAACGAGAGGCCAAAGATTATCGCGAAAGTACTCAGCGAGGTGTTGCCTTGTTGAAAGACGATTCTAAAACGCCTGTCAGCCGATATGCTCAATCAACCGGCCTCAATTCGTTTAAAACAAAGGTTGACAGCGAACCTGTCAAGACGCCGTCTGTTCTTAGCTATAAACGAATGTTTGAACAATCGAAAGCAGAAAAGAAAGATATTAGTGATCTACGGATCGTTAAAGGTACATATAACATGAAAGCTGACGTGAGAAGCGACAAAAGGACTGCAGAAGGTAAATTATTCGCTGCTAATGATGAATCACAATTGCAGACTTTAAACAAAGGTACAGAACACAATGCTCAGTCAATTCACATGGAGAAATCAACAAGCTTGAACGTGCGCAAAACAGTGCCTTCGATTTCGCCCAAACCACTTAAGAATTTTGTATCTACACCCCCTTGGTTAAGGAACAGTTCATTGAAAAGTGTTCCTTTCCCAGCTGGAAAAAACTCTGTCCAGGAAACAATGGTGGGTAATATAAACAATGAAGTGGAAAACATCTCAAAAGATATTCACAAGTATGATCACAATAGTTTGGTTATTAAAACCTCTGATGTCATGCAGAAGGAAAAAGAAGATGTAAATCCAAGTGGCACGAAAATACCTGAAATTACTGCTGAGCCAGTTAGAGAAACACTTGTACAACCAGATTACAAGGGCAGAGAATTACCTTCTCTACAAGACCACTCAGTACAGAATTTTTCAGTAGTCAAGCAGTCTGATGTTAAAGAGAAACAGAAAGGTGTCAAATCTGTCAAAGGAAATGAGAGTCAAAAATATGTAGTCATCACTAGTGGAAACAGACCAGAATTTGCTCCTTTAAATGAGAAATTGCTAAATGATGTGAATAGAGATGATGCCTCACAAGTTCCTAATGGACAGGAGTCACAAAAGGACAGTCATGAATCAAGTGATGATTATAATGCAAGTCAAAGCACTATTGCTTCTTTGCGGAGCATGTTTGGACCTTCAGCTGGATTTCGCAGGCACACATCTTCTGAAGAGAACCTTGCCCTAAAGGTAAATCAGCCTGAGCCTACTGAGCATGGTAGTGTTTTACGCAAGCCTGGCCAAAATAGAAGAACACAGCCATCCACAGTCAGGTGGTCAGCAGATGTTTTAAGTTTGACGTCGCAACCTATGGATGATGATGAAGATGATGATAACAAGTTGATGACATCGCCTCAAAGTGATTCAAATATTCCTTCCTCAACCAATAGTCAGGCTAAACGACCTCCCCCTCCCACGAAAAGGTGGACTGCAGATGTATTAAGTGTGGGGTCCCAATTGGACGAGAACGATTTATCAAATTTGTCACCAAGAAGTGATTCTAACAGGACTTTCTCACCAATTTCTAGTCTTGAAAGAGGAAGGTCTTCATCCCTGACAGACATTAGAGAAGAACGAGGATGTGCTTATTTCCAACATAAACCAAATGTCTCCCAAGGCATAGAACACCGTATGCACAAGCTAATTAAAAAGGCTTCTGTATCAGAAATCAATATAGACCCTGATGAAAATGAGTCTGATTCAGTTAGTGATGATGAGCTCTCAGGTTTGAATGATTTAGATCTCAAGTCCAGTGAAGCACCAAATGTACAAGGGACAATAAATGATGAAATCACAGATCATACACTTACTGATTCAATAATTATGAGGAAAGATTCTCAGCTAGATTTATCCTCAACAGAGCAAGAAATACAACCTGTATTTGCAAGAAAACGTAGCGTATCACATGACATTGAACAACGAGTAAGTGAGCTGTTTCATCGTCAGTTGTCACAGCAGTCAGATCAAGATGGGGCTGAAACTGATGACAAGAACAACTTGGAAGATGAGAGTAACATTATCATTGACCAGGTAGTTGAAATAGATCAAAAGTCTGACCCTGAAAAGCTGTTCAATGATCCTGCTGCTGTTGAGAAACCAATGGATTTTGCCTCACCATCTTCTGAAGAGGCAAGCAAAGGTGATTCTGATCATGTTGTTCAAGAGAGCAAACCATCAAAAGGCTCAGTGCATAAGCTGTCTGCATTATTTGGTTCAAGTATTTGGAAAGGAAATAAGAAAGACAAAAACGGTGTAGAAGAAAAGGCAAAAATCAAGCCAAGTGTTGAGGTTAAACGTCAAAAGGTTCCACCAACAGAACAATCAAGCCAGAATCAATTGTTACAGAAGAAGGAAGACAACAAAAAATCCAATCTGTTCTCTAAATCACAGAAAAAGGAGGAAAAATCAGTGGAAAAGAAGGAGAAAGATCAGTCTAGTGTTAACCGGTTTCCTTGGCTAAAAAAATTTAGCAAAAGTGAACAGCAATATGAAGGAAGTAAAATAACAGATGTTCCAGGAAAGAAACAAAAGAACAATGTTTCAAGTTCTACTGACACTACATCCATTACTGGACATAAATTGGGTCCAGTACAAAAGGCTGGAGAATTGGAAGAGGAAATAGCTAGCAGTAAACAGGAAGGGGCGGAAGAGAAGAGTGGAGAAAATAAAATCATCAGGGTTAAGAGCAAAAATAGGAATAATGGTTTTATTCCTACCACAGAAGGTGTTGATACTGTGCTTGGTGCAGCTCATAGTTTGCGACCAGTGCGGAAGTCTGGAAAAGTTGAACAGACACTTGTTGGCAAACTTAAAATAATAAGCAATGCCAGTTATGAGCAAGCACCGCCTAAGGGTGTTTACCACAAACCAAAGTCAAGTGTCCAGCCTCCGCAAGAGGAGAAAAAGAAATTGCCTGCAGAGGTTCCAGCTAATTCCAAAGAGGCTAGTTCTAGAAAGAGTGAAACTCACATCCCAGTAGTTGTAACACAGCACTGGAATGGACACCAGGAGAGTCCAGAATCTGAGGAAAGCATGAATGAGGCAGTTCCTGTTTCATCAATTGATGAGGTGCCTGTTTCGGCAATAGATATTCCAGAGTCTGGTGAAAGTGATGTCATAGTATCTGTGATTGATGTTCCATCATCTCCAGATGTCCACAATACTGAGAAGTTCCTCAATGGCAGCAATGACAAGGCAGTTCATGTTTCCGATGACATCAGTGTCTCAGTGATTGATTTGCCGTCACCTGTAGCCAAAGAAGATGAACCAAATACCTTCCAGGGAGGTTACCTTGAGGCAGATGAGTTTTCAGATGAAAGTGACACAGATGAAGTGGAAGGAAGCTATGACTTTGCTACTGGAGAAGTCACACATTTAGTTAACGGTAACATTGGCTCAGATGATGATGATGATGATGATGAGGAGGAGGAGGATGACGACGAGGATGAGGATGTACCTATATCATATATTGGATCAGCACCACAATACCGGGTTCCGCAAGTGGTGTTTGATTCAGAACCTGTTGAGTTGAAGTCTTGTTTGAGTCCAAAGACTGCAAGAAGAAAGGTAAGATCTCACAGTAATCATTTTTTGTGTTTTGTTGGGTCCTTAACACTGGTCTTAAGCCATAATCATCTAAGAGCATGTATAGATGGAAATAGTGTCACCTTCGACTGGTAAAAGGCATCATTTCTGCTTTAAGCCTTTTAAAATAGCATGAAGTCTCTGCTCATTGTTTCTTAAAAATCCTATTTTCTAGTTTTTACTATTATTGTCTTTGCAGAGACACCATAAAAATCCTGGTTACAAGCCCATCCATCCCCCTGCTAATAGGCCTGTCAATATGTACCTATAATATAAATGAATACACAAAGAGGGTTGTTTCACTTATCCTAGAAGTGCTCTATGCATACACATGCACAGCTAAATACAGCATTAAGTAAAGATTGGACTGAAAGGTGCTGTACAGACAAATTTTTCTGAGAGACATTTTAGGCAGTTTCAGACAAGCATCACCTTTCAAAAGTAATTGCATTCTTGACCATCCCTTTTTATGTGTTTCAGGTGAAAGGAGGAAAAATTTCTTTCAAGAATTCTCCCATGGTACATGACTATCCATCAGAGGAAGCAGCCAAGGCCATTTTTGATGAGCTTGAGGACAACAATAATGGGAAGTTAAAAACCCTGCAGAATTACCAACCAGCAGCACTGGTCAATAATGGGCAGTTAAAAACCCTGCAGAATTACCAACCAGCAGCACTGGTCAATAATGGGCAGTTAAAAACCCTGCAGAATTACCAACCAGCAGCACTGGTCAATATGGAAAAGAAGTTGGTCTATACAGTCCAGGGAAGCACACAATCTGTCAGCAATAGTGAGGAAAAAGTGCATGACACCTTTAACAACAAAAGTGATCCAGAAATCAAATACGCAGACGACGGACAGGGTTTTACAGATTCTACTGATTATGCAAGTGCACTACTGTTTTAACACATAAATTCCTGATCATCAACATCCAAATTCTCTACTGTTCTCCATACATTTCTTGTGGTACTGGTGAGGAGAATTTGTCTCAGAATCAAGGTGACATTTTTATCTCTGACTGGTGATCGTGTCCCTTTGCAAGGAGTACTTTAAAGTTTGAGCTTTAAGAGTTTAAGTGTTTTGTTTCCTTCCGGTCTTCCTTCTTGCTCTTCTGATGTTTTTATTTTACAGTCAATTTGGTGATGATTTGCTTTGACAGTTTTTTTTTTTCAAACTTGCCAGAGACTTGCATTTCAGACTTGCTTTTCTTCTCAAAGAACAGAAGGGCTACAACAGTAGGAAATGATGATCTGCTTGTGGACTGTGCATGTAATAGCCGCTCTTTGCTGTAAAAAGTAATTGACTCTCAAACACTATCTACTAAAACAGGGTTTATTGTAGAAATATTTCAAAAGAAGTGGTTCAGAATTGTTCAAATACTTTGGGCCCTCTTCCTTCCCTCTACAATTTTTTTGTTCAAATTGAGGCCCACATTAGCTGATTTCTAGAATAAACCTTGTAAAATATGTCACGTGTTGGACTTAAGATTGAAATTATTTCAAAATATTTATGAACGATGGATAAAACCAGGGTTTTTGATGGCAAGTCAACCTTTTTTGTTACCTCTTGAAAGCACTGGTGTGTAAACTCTGGTGGGGGTGGTCAGGAAAGGCTTACCACACTACAACTGCCTTGTGATTTCAACGTAAAAATTTATATCTTGATACAAATACCCATATATCTTATGTTATTACAATAACTTTATAATAATTGAAATATTGTGAAGTTATTGGTTAAATCATTAGGATTTTCCACAAATTAACAAATTCTTGAGAAGCTCAAATGTATCTTTTGTGTAAATAATTCATTTCTAGATTTAAAGTAAATAAAACTGACAATGTTTAGGTGTACAATTTTTCATTCAAAAGCATTAGGAAAAATTTGACAAGACTTGGTGTATAGATACAGAGTGGTGTTGTAATATATTCTTGGCTATTCATGATCACTGTTTTACAAAACCAATACTAAAGTAAGTGATGGCAGTGGTGAAAACTCAAGAAAAAATGTTTCTAGATCATTGAAAGAAGTGTTGTTGTTCATATTTTTTGTCCTATCAAGCTGGCTTTTTATGAGGACCATCAATTTTTTTTATGAGTGAAGTTGATGTCAAGTAAGGAGATTCCAAGTCTACAGAGCTATTATCAGTCATAATAATTACAATATTTAAAAAGCTATTTGTGAGTTGGACTTTTTTCTTTGTGGTCAAACTCACAGTAAAACAATTTAGGGGAATTGACTTACTGCTTTTAATAATAAATCTTGATTATTAATCTGAGTGGTCACAAGATAACTGTAAGATCGTTATTTGGGCAGAACAAGGAACGTACACAACTATGACAGTGATGGCAGTGAACAATTCACTTAATTATTTTTTTGAACTTTGAAAATATTATTCCAACTTGCTCAATTTGTCAAATATTGGCACAATCGTATGGAGTTGAATTGGTAAGGACCATGCACACCCAAGTTCCAAACAATAGGAAAGGTTCTTTTGCATTTTTACTTCCTCCATCAAAATGTTGCGGTAGCAAACATCATGGCATTGTTGTGCAGAGGATAGCTAGTAAGATCTGTAAAGTTCCAAAAAGAAATGATGCACAGAGAGTTGATTTTTTCTGATTAATTACATGTTTTCTAACTTAGGCGCTGCCATCCTTATTGTTGTTGTGTACATTCCCTAAGTAAAGACTAAGTAATGCTATGACAACAGACTGCTGAGTTCAGACAGGAATATGTTTTAACTCTCTCACTGGCAAAAAGTGG